TCCCCCAGCTGTCCCAATTGCCCTGACACATAGGCTTTGGCAGAATTAGCTCTCCTTTTCTCCTCCATATTATAAATTCCATTCCAGACCAAGTATGTGAAACTCCTTTGATGATTGTTACACCAAAACTTCAATAAAAATCACTTCAAGATAGTAATACCAGCATATGGGAACCATTGGCTTTAGGTCTAATTTTTCATAGTAGCGAGGTTATTTTATAGGGCTATATCTCATCTACTGTCTGAGTAGGTTCTGAGCTGTGTCTCATTCAAATGAGTGGTTTCTGAAGGTTACTATTGAATGGGAGCTCTAATGCTGTTTCTTGTCTCTGATGTAGAGGAGAGGCTTGATTTTGGTAATATAACTGTTTGTTTAACATTACTCAGCAATGAATAAGGCCTCCCTTGATCTTCCTTGTCCTTTCCCATGTTGTAGACAGTTCAGTTAGGAACTCAAGTGGTGATATATTTGTCTGACTAACAGGATTCTTTTTTTTCTTCTGAGCTGGTGTCGTAACAATTCAAACTCTTTTTTGTGGTTCAGTTTCTGTAAAAGTCGGAAAGATGTTCTCATGCAACATATTCACATATCTTTGGCAGATTCATTGTGTTATGAAAACATAACTTGTTTGCAGTAAACATATAATCAAGTATGTTTTTGTAAGGGCTGATTGTGCAACATTAGACACAGCAAGACGGGCATCAGATAAACAATTTACATTAGGAATATTTGTATTGGTAATGCACTGGAAGTGTGGAAGAGAGCCAAAGTTTATAAATAAATAAAGCAAAACAGTATGCTGGAGTGAGGATGTTGATGAATGTAGAAAGGATTATACATTGAGAGTGAAAAAATGTGGTTTTATGATAGGGTACAATCTATGTTCTGGGATTTTTATGATTAACGGGAATAATACCTCTATATATTTTACTTTGTGTAATAATGCCCTTTATAAATTGTCCTTTCACCTTGTTTGTATTAATAATGCAATAAATCACATTCTGGAGGCTTTGGGTGGAGGAGTTTTCTATTCTGATCTCAACCTCTTCTCACAAGTGTGAAGTAAATGTAGGTGTGCTATATAGCAAAGATGGTGATTGGGAAGGCCTATAAAACCAACAGGGGGACTCCTGGGCCAAGTGTGAGGGAGGACTGGCTCCGCACTTCTGCAAGGGGAAAGGCCTCAGGCGGAAGGAGTGGGGATGGGGCTAGCCTCCCTCTGCAGGGCTGGCCTTACCATGAGGCGAACTGAGGCAGCCGCCTCAGGTGCCAGAGTGTGGGGGGGCGCCACTAGGACCCAAAGGGTAGAAAATTGCGTCTGCTGCTGGTGCATATGTATTCTCAATGGGTATGTCTACACTACCCCCCTAGTTCGAACTAGGGGGGTAATGTACGCATACCGAACTTGCTAATGAAGCCCGGGATTTGAATTTCCCGGGCTTCATTAGCATAAAGCCGGCGCCGCCATTTTTAAAAGCCGGCTAGTGCGAACCCCGTGCCGCGCGGCTACACGCGGCACGGGCTAGATAGTTCGGACTAGCAAACTATTCCGAACTATCTGTACGCCACGTTCCTCGTTCCAATGAAGCCCGGGAAATTCAAATCCCGGGCTTCATTAGCAAGTTCGGTACGCATACATTACCCCGCTAGTTCGAACTAGGGGGGTAGTGTAGACATACCCTATGTTCTAGATGCACAGAGATGGTGGAGTGGAAAAAATTGCACGCTGGAAAAAATAACCCCAACTATACATGTACTATGATGGGGGCTAATTTGGCTACGACAAATCAGGAAAGAGATCTTGGAGTTATTGTGGATAGTTCTCTGAAAACGCCCACACAGTGTGCTGTGGTGGTTAGAAAGGCAAATAGAATGTTAGGAATTATTATGAAAGGGATAGAAAATAAGAAACAGAATAGCTTACTGCCCCTGTATAAAACTATGGTTTTATACACTTGAGTAATGTGTACAGATGTGGTCTCCTCACCTCAAAAAAGATATTTTGGCCTTGGAAAGGGTTCAAAAAAGGGCAACTAAAATGATTAGGGGTTTGGAGCAGGTCCCATATGAAGAGAGGCTAAAGCAACTGGGACTTTTCAGTCTGGAAAAGAGGAGACTGAGGGGGTATATGCTAGAGGTATATAAAATCATGAGTGGTGTGGAGAGGGTGAATAAAGAAAAGTTATTTATTAGTTCCCATAATATAAGGACTAGAGGACACCAAATGAAATGAATGGGTAGCAGGTTTAAAACTAATAAACGAAAGTTCTTCTTCACACAGCGCATAGTCAACCTGTGGAACTCCTTGCCAGAGGAGGCTGTGAAGGCTAGAACTATAACAGAGTTTAAAAAGAAGCTAGATAAATTCATGGAGGATAGGTCCATAAAAGGCTATAAGCCAGGAGGTAGGAAAAGTGTCCCTTGCCTCTGTTTGTCGGAGGCTGGAGATGGATGGCACGAGACAAATTGCTTGATCATTGTCTATGATCCACCTCGTCTGGGGCACTTGGTGCTGGCCACTAATGGCAGACAGGCTACTGGGCTGGATGGACCTTTGGTCTGACCCAGTATGGCCATTCTTATGTTCTTATGTTATGTAGTGCTTTGCTGGAGGAAGGAAGGCACAAGAGACAGGCAGGAGACAAGGTGGCATGGGGGCATCATTTGAGCTCCCCGCCTCAGGTGCCAAAATGTTGTGGGCCAGCCCTGTCCCTCTGCCAGCCCTTCAGCACTTTGCAGTGCTCTTCAGCAGGGCTGCTTCTGCTGCAGTAACGGTGGTGGCTAGGAACCCCAAGCCCCTTCAAATCACTGGGGCAGTTGCCCTCCTACCTCTCCCCACTTCATCTGTGGGTCTGAAAACCACTGAATGCTACAACTAGCTATTTGATTTCCTGTTAAACTCTGACTCACCAAGACATTATTTGCCCACTCTAGTTGGAAGAGGGCTTGAGACATAACTTCTGCTGCAGTAACGGTGGTGGCTAGGAACCCCAAGCCCCTTCAAATCACTGGGGCAGTTGCCCTCCTACCTCTCCCCACTTCATCTGTGGGTCTGAAAACCACTGAATGCTACAACTAGCTATTTGATTTCCTGTTAAACTCTGACTCACCAAGACATTATTTGCCCACTCTAGTTGGAAGAGGGCTTGAGACATAAACCCTTGTCTCAGGCCTGGTATGAGGCCTGAAGCCTGGACTAAAGTTATGGTCAGAGCTTTGCTGATACAAAGCAAAATCAGGTTGTGAGCTAGAGGCAGGCGTTGCTCACAGAATCTGGCATTAACAGTGCTGATATTGCAAAAACACACATTCCTTAAGAGGTGAGAGGTGCAGAGCTCTCACACAAGCAGATTGCACAAGCGTGGTACCAGAACACCCCGATCCCAATGCTTTCTCCAAAGATAACAGGAACACACTGACCCATCCTAAAGATAAGGTCAGGATGCCAGCATGATAGAGATGTTTTGACTGAACCCCAACATGTACAAGGTAACAGGTGGCACCTACACATGTCAGGGGGCAATACATAACTTTTTTCTATCTGCCTATAAAGGGGTATCTCTGAGGAGGTGTTGAGGGACAGTGGAATATCCTGCCTCTTACTGAGCTGCTCCATAGTCATGGGGATTCATATACCTGTAACCATTGACCTGCCCCGTGTTGCTCAGCCATGCAGCAGAATTCCTTGGTTCATACATTTCAAGATTAATTAGTCTTCCGTTCTCATAACGTGTTTAAACTGAACCAGTGCTGCTGGAGGTGGCGACCTGTGACATGCTACTTCTCACAGCTCCCATTGGCTGGAAACAGCAAATCAAAGCCAATGGCTATTGATCCTACAGGTAAACAGTGACATGGGCCGGCTAGCGGCTTTTTTAAAGCCGGCCCACAGCCCACTTTGAGAAACACGGGTTTAGATGGTTCTTGATCCTGCTATAAGTGCAGGGGACTTGATGACCTCTCAATGTTCCTTCCAGTGCTAGTATTCTAAGATTATCCCAATTTTACAGAGGGGAAACCTGAGGCACATAGCAGTGATAGCACATACCAGAGGTTGGGGGGCCCCTCCAATGGTGCAGTTGATTAGGTACCCACTGCCAGAGGTCAAGGGCTCCCCCCCCCCCCCTCCAATGTCACCCAATAGGCCAGCAATAGGGCTACAACTGAAATATCCTAATTCCCTGTATAGAATGCTGTCTGTTAAAACATGCTGTCAATCAAGTAATTGGAATACTGCTTATGCAGTTCCTATTTTCATAGTATTTGGCATTCCTCTGAACATTCAATTTGCTTATCCTTGTAACAACCCTGTGAGGTAGGGAAACATACTCATCCAAACTTTGCAGATCAGGAAGTGTTGACCCTAAACATGTGGTATTTCACCAAACCAACAGAAAGCTACATTATTAACACTTCTCCTCACCTAGTTTCTGCATTGCCAATTAATTTCCAGACATATGCACATCTAATCTCAAAATATCAGTATTATCCATGATTAACTGTCATTTCAGAAATAACACATGAGAAGGGGTGAAAGGAGGATAGTTTTATGGTTCATACAGTTCTGGAGAACCCAGGAGTCTGCACTGTGTCACGCGTTTTCTGTTTCAACTTTGACCTCAATTCCAATTGATTTCAGAGGAAGTTAGATACCTAAATACCACTGGTGATCTGAGCTCTTAATCTCTGGGTCTAATTTTCTGATCTGCAGATGAGAATAAAAATATTTGTCTCAGATATTTAAATCATATGTTTTTAAGGGCTGAGACTATTTCTTAGTATGTGTACTGCTCTTACTAACCGTATATGTTACTGTAATACTATAAGTTGTTATTTAATAAACCATCAATGCATTTTGCATGACCAACAGATGTTTCGCAACCAGAAGTAAGCAGTTAAGCAGGTAACTATATTGTCCCCCTTTAGAAAGACTCCCCGTGTTCAGAACTTTTCCTGTGAGGCTTCCGGCTCTCATTTTCTCATTTATTTTTTATCCACAGAATGATTGGGAAGCAAGATACTGTTTCCATCAGCTGAGCAAAGCTGCCGCCTGACTAAGGAAGGGTTAAAGAAACAACAAATATCCCCTCAAGAAATTCCATGAAAAACACTGAAGATAAGCACATGGAAAACTCAAACAGCATGCCTTCTGTTAAGTATGTGACAGAAATTTCCCTGCTTGAGGTAAGGAAGATAGAGGCTCTGGTAAATTATGTTCCCCATGAGTGTTGCTAAGGCATACTTGCACATATTATATGAGGTAGAAAATTAGTACTTTGAATTGTTATGGTTACATTTGCAGTAAAGTATAAGTGTTTGCAGTTTTTCAGAAGTTTGCCTATGGTTGGCCATGCAGTTCACCCACTGAGAAGAAAATGTACTTGCTGTAAAGTGATGAAGCAGATCAATGGTTATAAGGAAAACTACTGCAAACTCTTAACTAAAGAACTGGTTTGGTGTGAAGGGATTAACCTAGAGATGAACAGGCTTTAGTGCCAGCACTTGGCTCCATGCTTATATACTGTCCATTAAGTTTAAACTGAGATGGGTCCACCAGATCATCAGCTCCGACCTCCTGTATCTCACAGGCCCACGTCCACACATTAAACTCAACAACTGAAATTAGCCCAAAGTATTACAGCCCACAAGAGATTACAGTGTAACCTGTCACAGGAAGAGAAAAGGAGGGTCAGAAGTGTATGAGTGACAAGTGCCCTTGCAATGGCAGAGAACTGATTAAATGAGATATACCAAAATGATCCTAGCAAGTGACCCACACCCCATGCTCTGCAGAGCTAGGAGAACTCCCCTCCACTAGTGAGACTGCCAGACTAAACTAGGGGAAAATTCCTTCCCAACTCCACATAGGGTGATCAGTTAAACTCTGAACATGTGAGCAAGAACTAGAGATAACCAAGCACTTCAGAAAGGGAATATTTGGTTCCATCTCAGAGCAATCTGTCTCCCCTATTCAGTGTCCTGTCTACAATTGTGGCAATTTCATATACTTCAAAAGAAGGAAAAAAATAAAACACCTGGAAAGAAAATATTGGGGGGAGGGGGTCTACATCCCTTCCCGGCTCCTGTAGATGACTAGCTGAAGGCCTGAAGCATGTGATTAATACAAATTTGGGGTGTGATCTTCCTTATACTTTATGCCAGTATAAACCAGGACTGACACAACTAAAGTTAGTAATTGCTTGAGTGCCAAACTGGTGCTTGTGAGATGAAAATTAGGCCCTCTAATCAGGCCAACTGATTTGGGTGAGAGGTGTTGTCTTTGCTAATGAATAGTGTATGATGTCACATGTTGATCTAGTTCCTATAGCAATGGAAAGTAAAATAACCAATTCTCATATGTTGCAGAAATTACATGCTTTTGCTTTATGTGTACAGTATGCACACCAACAAAAACATATACATGTGACTTAGATGAAGTGCTCCTTTATGGATGAGGAACTAGGTAAAGAAAGACGGAGTTGATCATAGCCAATCAGAAAGTCTCTGGGGGTGGAATGAGGTGTATCGGTAGTTTGAATTAGAGAGCCTAATTTGAACTACCTACTCCGTGCCGCGTGTAGCCGTGGGCACGGAGTCCGCACTAATGGGGATTTAAAAATGGCGGCACCCGGCAAGATGCAAATGAAGCCCAGGCTTCATTTGCAACTTCGAATGCCTACATTAGCCACCCTAGTTCGAACTAGGGTGGCAGTGTAGACATACCCTGGCAGAGTACAGAGTTAAATAAGGGTTTCCTGGGTCCCAGCCTAGTGCCCTTAACCAGTGAATTAATTAGGGTTGCCAGCATTCCTGAATGGCTGGACTGGATGCCATTTACAGCAATAGCATCTGCTCTGTCTGGTTGGGAAAGCTGGCAACCCTGGAACTCATCTTCCTCTTAGTAGTTGCACTGTTTAAAGTTACAATGAACCTCATCTCCTGTATCTACCAGACAGCATGCTGCATGATCCACTTTACGTTACCACATGTGCAGAATGTAGTTGTCAGTTCCCTTTTCTGTAACAGTGTATGTGCACCACCA